TGAAATGATTCTCGAGAGATATTACGGTAGTTCGATATTTTCTTAATGACAGAAAAGAGTTATTAAAGAGGAAAAATATTTAAATATAATAAAAATTTATAATAGACGAATAATGTTTCTCTTATTTGCGTAAGAGAATTTAAATCGAAATATAAAATTACTAGATTATATCTTCGAAACACGATTTTGGTAATATTTTTATGAAATGATTCTCGAGAGATATTACGGTAGTTCGATATTTTCTTAATGACAGAAAAGAGTTATTAAAGAGGAAAAATATTTAAATATAATAAAAATTTATAATAGACGAATAATGTTTCTCTTATTTGCATAAGAGAATTTAAATCGAAATATAAAATTACTAGATTATATCTTCGAAACACGATTTTGGTAATATTTTTACGAAATGATTCGATATTTCCTTAACAAAAAGTATTTCCATAAGTAGAGAATTTAAATCGAAATATAAAATTACTAGAGTATATCTTCGAAACGCGATTTTGGTAATATTTTTACGAAATGATTCGATATTTCCTTAACAAAAAGTATTTCCATAAGTAGAGAATTTAAATCGAAATATAAAATTACTAGAGTATATCTTCGAAACGCGATTTTGGTAATATTTTTACGAAATGATTCGATATTTCCTTAACAAAAAGTATTTCCATAAGTAGAGAATTTAAATCGAAATATAAAATTACTAGAGTATATCTTCGAAACGCGATTTTGGTAATATTTTTACGAAATGATTCGATATTTCCTTAACAAAAAGTATTTCCATAAGTAGAGAATTTAAATCGAAATATAAAATTACTAGAGTATATCTTCGAAACGCGATTTTGGTAATATTTTTACGAAATGATTCGATATTTCCTTAACAAAAAGTATTTCCATAAGTAGAGAATTTAAATCGAAATATAAAATTACTAGAGTATATCTTCGAAACGCGATTTTGGTAATATTTTTACGAAATGATTCGATATTTCCTTAACAAAAAGTATTTCCATAAGTAGAGAATTTAAATCGAAATATAAAATTACTAGAGTATATCTTCGAAACGCGATTTTGGTAATATTTTTACGAAATGATTCGATATTTCCTTAACAAAAAGTATTTCCATAAGTAGAGAATTTAAATCGAAATATAAAATTACTAGAGTATATCTTCGAAACGCGATTTTGGTAATATTTTTACGAAATGATTCGATATTTCCTTAACAAAAAGTATTTCCATAAGTAGAGAATTTAAATCGAAATATAAAATTACTAGATTATATCTTCGAAACACGATTTTGGTAATATTTTTACGAAATGATTCTCGACAAATATCACGATGATTCGATATTTCCTTGACAAAAAAGCATAAGAGAAAATTTAAATCGAAATATAAAATTACTAGATTATATCTTCACGATTTTGGTAATATTTTTATGAAATGATTCGATATTTCTTTAACGAAAAGTATTTCCATAAGTAGAGAATTTAAATCGAAACATAAAATTACTAGATTAGTAGATTATATCTTCGAGACATGATTTTGGTAATATTTTTACTAAATGATTGTCGAGAGCTGACACGATAATTCGATATTTTCTTAACGACAGAAAAGAGTCATTAAACAGGAAAAATATTCAAACATAATAAAAACTTATAATGGGTAAATAATCTTTCTCTTATTTACATAAATAGAGAATTTAAATCGAATCGTAAAATTACTATATAGATTATATCTTCGAAATTTTGGAAATATTTTTTATAAAATGATAGAAAACTATCATAATGATTCGATATTTTCTCAATCTTTGACAGAAAAGGGTAAACTGATTAAGCAGGAAAAATATTCAAACATAATAAAAATTTATAATGACAAATAATTTTTCTCGTATTTGCATAAGTAGAGTTTAAATCGAACGATAAAATTCGCGATAAAATTATTATGCAAGGAACGCGATTTTCAAAGTACTTTTACGAAATGATCTCGAGTGCTATGTTATTAAAAAATTTATAATAATATTTACAACATTATACATAATATTATAATTTATAAAATAATTTAAAGAATTTAAATCGAACGATAAAATTACTATGCATGGAGCACAATTTCGAAAATATTCTTAAAATGAAATGATCTCGAGACAATGTTATTAAATATCGGTAATCGATATGATACAAAGTTCCTTAATCTTTGTTCGTGTTCAGAAAAAGTATACCAACGTAATTACAGTTACATGCTTCTTATAATCGAACAGCACGATTGAAAATAAGAAATCCCAAAACGTATCTAATCGCGCGAGTTAATTAATTATACATCCGTTGAAAAGTTATTACATAATTTGTCATTCAATATTAACAGACGAAAATTTATTTACAATTAAATAATTTAAATAATTAAATTTTTAATCAATCAATAATTAAATTTTATTTAGAATTAAATAAAATTTTCGTAAAATCGTACTTTCGAACGATATATACTCAAAAATTTCAAATTCGAATTCTTACGAATCATTACGCGGATCCACAGCCGCGTATCATGAATTACAGAAGCAAAAAACCGAAAGAAAGAGAGAAAGACAAGAGCAAAACGATCTCCTTCCGTGGATCCTCGCCGATCGTGTTCCACGATTTAGGTCGAGGCAGGTGCGAAACAGATGGTCGGGAGAAAGAGAACAGAAGAGAAGAGAAAAACTTTCTTGTCTCGAAACGTTACCTCAACGCCGTTTATAATACCGACAAAAATAAAGAGGAAAAGATTGAAATTTGAATTGCGATTTTTCCGCCCTCTGGTCGTCGAGTCAGCAATTTGTTGTTGAGGAATTAAAGCGGTTAATATTTAAGTAGGTAATTTCTTTATTGTTAGCAGTTAAATTAAAGTCTAATATTGGCGGACAAAAAAATGGCTGAATTGTTGACGCTGGAAGCGCAGACACAGTAGAGATTTTCACAGCGGAACGAAAGGGAATGAATAAAATATTAGCCTAGGTTTTCGAGGTTAAGAACGTTAGAGAGGTACGACGGATAAATGGAAGGTGAGCAGATAGATCACCGTGACGTGGATTCTCGAATCCCGTTGATCTGCCTCATTCTTACCTTCGTTATCCGCAAACCGGTATTTTTCGATCGAATTTTAAAGACACGTGAAAAAAAAAAAAAATATTCGAAGTTTACAACCGATTCGATTGGTAAACAAATTAGTTAAATCTCGTTTTGGGACAGCAATAAAAATCATCGAGTTTTTTCTTTTTTGTTTGCGACAGAGTTTGATCGTGACAAGAATTTAGAATTCAAAATTGTTAATCTTTTTTTATTGTAAAGATAATCATGCAATTTTTTTATATTTAGAAAAATATTTAATTTAATATTAAAAGGGATCTAGAAGAATCTATTCGTGGATAAGAATTTATGTAATCGTTCATTCTATCGATATTTTTGTTATGAAATAATTTCGAGAGATCATTTAAATAATCATTTTGTACAATTATTTAATTCAATAATTATAAACGATATCGAACCATATCTTCTTCTTCGCGTAGGATTTGAATTCTCGTCTCTATAATAGCTCCCATTTAACCATACTACGCGTATTTTCCTCTTTTTATTTTTATACCGTCAAAATTATTGCTTACCGACCGAGGAAGCTACATTTAAAACCATATCTCACTCCATATATGAAAATAAATTCAAATTACAACGATCCGAAACGATCTTTCACTTCAAATTGAAATTACCGCGAAATTATCATAAAAATGGCCTCGTAACGTTTAATTTATAACTGATTGCACCTGTTCCAACGATAAACTACGCACGATCATCGACATGTACGAGCGAAAAAACGAGCAATAGGAATCATGGTTGATAATCGAGCTTCTGCGACGAGCAGAAGTTTTTTCTTTCCTTTTCTTTTTGAATGAATCAGCTTCGAGGGATTCGAATTTTTCGTCTCGAATGAAAATATCTCTATGGGGGAAGAATATCAATTCCCTTAATCGTCGAGATTAATTAAACGCGAAACAATATTATTATTTCAAAATATTTTTTTCATCTCACGATCGCCTCCTCTTTCTCCTTAAACTCCTCGCAATTTCTTCAAGTCTCAAGCGTAAAAGTTAACGAAGAAATTTTATATTTTAACGATTTATAGTTATGTTACACGGATATTCTTTTCTCGTCCTTAAGACGTGATTAATGATTAAAATTAGCAAGGCTAATTATTATTCACGAAGTGGATATTAAATCTTATCCGTTTCTTAATTCGTAACAATGTGTAAACATACATATTGTGCGTATCTACGCGTGAAATATTGTTTCCTTCGCGTAGATACGAAACGTTCTGTATGCATTTATGCTAATTAAATGACTGTATGTACATATGCATGCGCGTACGCGAGGCAAGCACGCTTCTAACGAGTTGCATCGGTGAATAGAAATTCGCATTATACGCTGTTTTTTGTTTATATAACATTACACGCTTAATAGATGCATGGCATTGCAATATTCTAATGCATAATACGTCATATTTGATTTGCGGTTATTTCTGAACTGTTACTATCACCGCTAAATATGATAATTCAAAGTGGATATACCGTGTTTGTTTATTTCAAATTAATGATTAATATTAATGATTAATGCTTGACAGATTTTACGACTTTATGCAGTCATACATCTCTTTCATAAATCATATTTCGAACCATCCAAACACTTTTATATAAAAAGAATCGGTTATTCCACAGATATCACACGCTTGCGTACAGGTTATATATATATACACACACACAAACGCGCACATATACATATATGCACATACACACACACACTATATACGTTGAAACTCTCTGTACACGGGAAAATTGTTGTTGTTTTCAGGTGCCAAGAGGGCCCCACCGTCCTGGCAAGGGCGCCTACTGGGCTCTTCACCCGGCAGCTCTCTCCATGTTCGAGAACGGCTCCCTCCTACGGCGCAGAAAACGTTTCAAGCTGCACAAACCCGACAAGGAACTGTTGAAATCCGAGCTTCAGGCCTTGGCGTCCGCCATGCCGCCTCCTCATTCCGAATCCTCGCCCGTCCTGTCGATAAATCCTAACGCGCAGACGAGCAGCCTCACCGTTGCCAATCTTCATCGTCTTCGCGACGATTTGCTCCGTTGGGAGTTGCAGGAGCGCCGCCTAACCATGACTTCCGGCGGCAACAGCTCGCCAAGCTTCTCCACGCCCGAGGCTGGATCGAGTTACTATCTACTGTCACCAGAGGTTCGACAGAGACTGGCCGGAACGGACGAGATCCTTCGTGGTTACGAGAGCAACCTGTTGCAGGCAGGAAGTTGGAGCTTCCCAGGCTTCCAGGTGTCCCCGTACGTGTCTCAGCTCTCCTACTTTCAGACAGATATACCGGAAAGTAGACAGATCTGCGCTGGAAACGCAGAGGCTGGTGTCCCCGAAAAGACTGACTCCAGGCTTTTCCTGGAGACCGCGAGAGGCGCCACGATCGAGTCTGCCGATGG